TTACTTATCGAACGAATCGAACACGAACTCCCTGATGGGACAAACACGAATTTTTTGAGAATAAGGAGCTTTTTTGACAGCCCTGGTAACAACAACCACATCAAACTTTTGGTGAGATATCTTCGCCGTTTAAATTATCTATATTTTAAACATCAAGAAAATCATCAGGGAGACATGTTATGCAATATCTCAATGCTAAAGAGTTTTGAGCAGTGACTTTACATCTTTTTCTTAATCGTGACGAAGTCCTACTATTTATACATTAAGATTTTAAGTAATTATAAATTATTTGAGATATTACTCTGTAATTTTTTTACTGATTTGCTTATATAACTAATAAAGATGTGAGCTGGTTACTTGTCAGCAATTTAAACATAGAAAAAAACTTTGTCAAAAGAAAAAAAAAGATTGAAGAAGAATTTATGGCTTGGTTCAAATTATATGTCCATTTAAGTAACTCTTCAATTCACTAATACATAAGTTACATGCTCAAATTAAAAATAATTACATTTTGAAATTTGTAATATGTAAATAATCAAAGCAACAAAGTTATAGATCAAAGCTTATTAGATCTTGCTTGACTCCTTATTACAACGTCACTACATGATAAATATTTGATGTGAATTGTTATAGATTTAACACGAGTTCCTAAAGTAAATAAAAAATGCATAAATATGTCGTATGTGTTAGAGGAAATACCCACTTTGATAGTGAGATCAGCTACTACGACATTCTTCAAGAAGTAGTGTAGTTGTGAAAGCTGGGTTATGTTGAGTGCAACATCTATATATGTTCAAATATGAGTAGTTTGATCATGTTTCTAATTGAGGTACATGAACACTAAACCAATATAATATCTCTAAACTGAAGCTAAAATGAATATAAGATATATGAAATTTGATTTATTTGTCATAACCCTTAAAGCTAGTCAGGTTTATTAACTTAGAAACATTGGTAGTGCAAGAGACAAAATTAATTGGGTCGTAGTTATAAACAATAAACTTAAATGAACTATTGAGACACAAAGTATTATTGAACATATTCATTAAGAGCAAGAAATATTAGATTTCATATCAGGCTGATTATATCAAAGAAAATATCAACCTCGAAGATATCACGAGGGTATATGAAGTGGTTAATCAAATTATAGATGAGTCTGATGATAATATGAATGAAGAAATTTGAAGTTCATCATCTAATAACTTGTTCCATGAAACATACTAAGAGAGGTATGACTTTTCATTTTCTAATTTCTTTCTAATTTTACCTCATGTAGTATTAGCTTTATACCTTTCACATTGCTTATTTTGTGTATTTTTGGTTTTGTTTTTTATATTTTTACTTTTTATGTGTCATGCTTACACTTAGTTATGATGTTTTTTTCTTATTTTTATTATGCATCTCCTTGCTTTCACTATTGATGTTTTTACTTGTACATATAGTGAGATGTGTCCTGATTGAACTTGTTTACTCCTTACACTTATACTATTTCATGCTTAGTATTAATTTTATTATTATTATTTTTTTTTTTTTGTGTTGCAAATGGCTTTAGGTAGGTGGGAGAGCAGCCACCTTGGCAGCCTATTGAGATCAACATTCCTTACTAGAGAAAGAATAGGACTGTCTCCCACTCTTCCTCGCACAACACTAGTGTTGTGTTGGTCAGCACCACCACCACTGCACCGGTGCTCACGAGGTCCGTGCTCCGATCAGACCTCTTGGTCCTAACACCATAACCCCTCCCATCCCTTCATTTTTGAGCAGTAAGCCACTATCGTCCTCCTTTAATCAATCAGGCCCCTCTCCTCTCACCAATTTTAGACAGAAAGCACTAGCTAGTTATATAACAAGGCAGAGTGAGATTCGTGAGTTATGAAAATATAGAATAAATTGAATTAATTTTTGCTACATTGTATAAATAATATTTCTATTTCAGGTTCTACCCCTTCAGGTAGCCCATTATGCATGTCAAGATGATCATTAAGTATGTTTATGATACTCCACATCTCTCCCGATAGAAGACATTGATTGCGGTTCAAGATATGTGGTTCGATGAGTTTGAGGTAAAATCAAGTTTGAGGTAAAATCAGTTGAATTGAATTAGAATTATAATTTTAAGGTTGTTTTGTTACACAAATAAATATTACACAATATTTATTTTGTAAAGACCTTCTACTTGCTAGTTGAGCATTATTATGAGATCCGACACAATTTTGAGGATTTCATCAGGTATTGGTTGTGCTATATGTTACAATTGCTTGTAAGAAGGGGGAGCAGCTGATCTAGGTTGGGGAAAAGAAATGGACGTGGTTGACCATATTATGGGTCAGTCCCCAATATCATAAGAAGAGAGATACAAAACAGTAGGATCATAGTACCGAGAGTGGTGGGGTGCCACACTCCATATTAGAGGATCGATCATGCACAAAGAATTATGGAGATATTTGATAATATTCACTTAATAATTGATAATTCAATAATGAAATTATCTTATGCTTACTATTTTTTTTCATTTTTATGGGCTTAGGATCATGCTCACCACTGCGGAGTTGAATGTCCGGACGCATTAGGGCACGGGGACGCAATAGTGGGTCTTCGACCTATCTCGATGTGTCCATACAAGAAAAAAAAAACTTTAATTTTCTTTAATTTACTAATAATTTTAATGCAAAATGTTAATCATTCTTTCATTTTATCGATATAGGAAGACTACAAGTATATTCAAAACACATAGAGCCATATACCTAGAGCCCAACAATCACTATTAGTAGTGTTGGTCAGTCTTCTCTTGAGTGGTCTGACTATGAGATATGGAGGCAGGCTGTCGAGAAGAAGAAGATGAGAGTATAAGACGTGAGCACAATGGTTAATCATTCTTTTGTTTTAATTTTCTTTAATTTACTTATACTTTTAATGCAAAATGTTAATCATTATTTCATTTTATCGATATAGGATGACTATAAGCATATTCAAAACACATAGAGCCCAACAATCGCTATTAGTAGCGGTGGTTAGTCTTCTCCTGAGTGGTTTGACTATGAGATTTGGAAGAAGCAGGCTGCTGGGAAGAAGAAGATGAGAGTATAAGATGTGAGCACAAAGGGTACTGCATTTGAAGCTGAGCACTTTCGATTTGCTTAGAGTCAGAGATTGTCATGATCGAATCGTAACGAACTTATCTGGTGTGTCATTGTTATGACTTAGGAACTCCATGAGCTAAGGTTAGTAGAAATTCGAGGCCATTGTCATGTGGCCGGAGCAAGTTGTAGATCATCGTGACAAGCGACCTCTGAGTTTAGTGCAGGAAGCGAAAGCTAAAGACAACGACGATAAGGATGCCTTGTAGGGTTATTTATTTATTTATTTCTTGTTTGGTATTTGGATATAATATTTTGCATGTATATTTTCTTTTTACATTTTATAAATTTATGTTGGACGGCAACTTATTAGATTTTGTATAATGTATAATAATTCTACTTATTTTCATTGTTGATATATAATTGTGCAATCTGTGTGTTGGTGATGAGTAAATATTGGATGTACATTTACATTGTGTTTATGAAATTAAAACGGGTGTTAGGATATCCATCATAGCAGCCGACAACTTAACAACTCCACAACCAAAAATAGTGCCGACATTATATATATATATATATACCGATTTACATCCGATTTTTCCGACGTGCATTACCGTGAACAAAATTCTGAGGGTGAGTCCAAATGAGTAAAATCTATAATCAAATATTAAATAACTAAAAATAATAATTTATTATTCCAAAACTAAACCAAAATAACCAATGAGTACGATTTGGTTCAATATTTTGTTTTTAAAAAATAATGTACATCTCTTTTTCTCTCCAATTGATAATTACAACTTTTTTTCTCTCTAAGGAAAGTGTCTCTATTAATGCAACAACTAAAAGGACAAAAAAATGGTTTTAGAATCATTTGGTGCAATTAAAATAGCATTATCTCCTTACACCGAAGGACAGCTTCTGCACATAATCCTCCATTTCCTTTAAAACACATAGTTGCATCACTGCATATTATTATTAACTATTTAATATCTGAAAAGTTTAACTTAATCAAAA